ACCATTCGCAGTGGGGGTCAAAGTGGTCATCAGAGTAGAGAACCATGAGAGGAAAGAAGATATGTGAAGGAATTTGGGTGGCTGAAATTTGGTGAGGATGTATGAAGTTATTTAATCATGTGTGTTGCCTGTAATCACAGTGGAGCTGATCTTTAAAACCTCCCTATAAGTAATCATCATTAAGTCTTAAAATATGCAGTTCTTCTTTAAAATAATATTTATAATCTGAAACCAAGACAAACTGAAGAGAAAGAAACACACTACGAAAATAACTGTTTTTCTGTCTGAATTTCCCAACTGTCAATCAGACTTCTGTAATGCAGGCAATCATTAATGGAATATGCATTTTTACATGTAAGAAACAACAGAAGAAAAGCTGAGCATAACAGGTGTCCAGGAAAGGGTATCCTATGGAATAACTGATTCCTCCCAAGACAGAATCTGTTTGTTTTTTGAATCAACTTGTGCATTTGCTTCAATTTCCTATGGACTCTATTCAGCTACAGTTATTATGCAGCTTTTGAAAGTGCATAAAGCTCACATGAGGATATAGAACATATTCTATACACTGTCAACCTGTGCAGCAAAAAATCAGTCAGCATATAAATGTGTATTTTTGTGTCTATTTCATAGGATCTCCCAGGAAAAGCTGAGAAAGAGGAAAACGCCATTAGAATAATAATAATAATCATAATATTTTTCACTGCTATAGAATCTATCTGAAGATATCAAAGCCCTTTAGAAACCTTATGCACTTAACCCTCATAAAACCACATGTTCCAATCTCACCAACTCCCATGCCACATGCACCTTTTACTCTATTCTCTGTGCTGTAAAAGCATCCACAAATCTACTTAGGCACTTCACTGCCACTTCTACTGATTTAGTGATATAGTGGTTTAGCCAGTGTCTGAATGAGACATACTGACACATTACTTTAGCCCATGTAAAGTCAGAATAGATAGCAATTTATGATCAACCAATACACTTAATCACATTCTGTAGCATGGTCCCTCATGGGGCAGATTCTTAAAGGAATTCAGGTACCTAAAGTTGCAAATAGGTGACTAGTAGGATTTTCAAAAGTGCCTAGTAAAAATCCCACTAGGTGCCTATATAACTTTAAAAATCTGGCCCTTATGTACCTTCACTTCGGGTACGTCCAGACTACCCGCCGTATCGGCGGGTAGCGATCGATTTCTCGGGGATCGATATATCGCGTTTCGTTATGACAGGATATATCGATCCCCGAACGCGCTCCCCGTCGACTCCGGAACTCCACCGGAGCGAGTGGCGGTAGCAGAGTCGACGGGGGAGCCATGGCCATCGATCCTGCGCCGTAAAGACCCAAGGTAAATCGATCTAAGATACTTGCTATTCACGTAGCTGAAGTTGCTTATCTTAGATCGATCCCCCCCCCCAGTGTAGACCAGCCCTTATACAAGCTCATTCATTAAAGGTGAACCAGATACCTTTTTAACTGCTAGAGTTCAAAATTCTGCATAACTGCTCCAAACCCTGCACTGTTTTAGGTGTTACTGGTTTTATAAGGTGTTCTAAGGAAAACATTGAATTTTTGAGGCAAGCCCTGGCAACCAAGTAAATGAGGAACTTGTTCACAAATATTTGGTTTAAATAGGTATTAATTTGTAACTCTATATACATATTTGGTTATTGATTTAGCTTCTTTCCCACCTCTCCAAATCTTTCCATTCTTTTTTTTTTAAATGCAGTGAATTTGCTGACATGCTGAAAGTCTCAAAACCAGTCAGATAAATGTACACTTTGAAATGGAAAATGAATAAACTGTCTTTTCTTTAAGAGTAATAAATCTAAGGTTGACAATATAAATGTCATAAATTTATTTGTTGCATGGTACACATAGAATGTTCTGAAATAGATAAATACAATTTGTGATTGCCTGTACTGTCATAAGAAAGAATCTTGATATTTTTAATGTATTAAAAGATGTTGTATGGAGAGGGCATAGGGCCAAATTCAGCTCTCAGGTTCACCCTTAGCATCCAACAACTTCAGTAGGGTTTCATGAATGTAAATGAAAGCAGAATTTCACCTATGCACATATTACTAGTCCTTTCAGTGTTATGAAAATACAGTTTAAACATTAAAAATAATGTTTTACCAATGCATAGCTGTCTATTGCAATGTACTCTTTAAGGTGTGATTGTTCTCTGAAACATGATTTTGTAAAAATGGCTTCATCGGGTGCCACATGTTCTCTCTTTCCAATTTCCTCATCAAGTATGTTCTGTTTTTAAATAAAAAAATATTTTTTTGTCGCAATGCCAGGCATGCAAACTCAATATCGGATCTGTAAGTCAAGCTCGGCTCTTTTTGGCTCACGCATCACAAGTATGAAGAGTCTGTAATTGGAATTATGTTAACAAAGCGTGGAAGATTTGCAAGCAAGATTAGACCCCAGCTCCTTGTTCCAGAACTACATTGTCTCTCTAGTAGTAGTGTAATATAAGTAGTAAAAAACTTTTTTTTACCATTTTCGGCAGATATGGCTTTGAACACACAGAGCAGGATCTGCTGAGTAAAAAGATGTTTTTACATTGTGATTTTCAAAGTAAAACTGCACTTTAAAAATAAAACAAAGAAACCATCTAATACTCAAGAGTTGTTTCTTCTACTTCTTAACCTATACTTATAAAGAGGTGCTGTGGAATTGTTAACATTAAATTTGACATACTCAGAAAAAAAGGAGTATTATATATTTATTGCTACCTGTTATGTGGCTGCAGTTATGATTAATCTTTTATTAGGAGGCATTTGCAAAACACCAACACTACCTGCTTCCTAAAGAAGTAAATGCATCTCAACCTACTTCAGTGACTACCCTCAGGAAAGATGACACCTTAAAATATTTATTCACGTGCTAGGAAAACATTGTTGCATGAGAAATAGTGCATTTTAATTCTTTCTTTCAAATGGCAACTCCATTTAAAGGTGATTTTTTTTTAAAAGTTCAAGAAAAATAGCTGAACTTTACTAAGTAAGGGTGTCAGACATTTTGGAAAATGTGCCCATCTATTTAAACTTTGTTGTTGTAGTATATTGTGATACAATTAAGTAATCCATTTTCCCATATCCCCTCTTCTTGTCTAAAAATGGCTGCTCCACAAACCTGTCTCTCACACCCTACTGCTCACCAACTTCTCGCTTGTAGTGAGACACTCCAGTATGCACTGTCTAATGGTCTTGATGCCCAGTGCTATAATAATATATGGATTGTCTACCTACAGGTGTTTTTAGCATCCTTAGTTTAAATCTCACAAGTTATAAAATACCAAAAGATTATTTTAAAAAATCCACTCTGCAAAACCACGAGATGTAATTGGGGCTTAGTTTAGCATGATTCAGAAAAGAGCTGGATGTATACATGGACAATGGGTAAAATGTTCAAAACTTCCTAAGGGCCCAAACTACTTGAAAATGGGTTTCTGAGGTGTTTTTGAAAATTATACCTGCTTCAGTCACAGTAGTAAGGATTAAAAGAGCAGCAACCACCACAGTTTGGAAAGGAAAAAGTGCTTCCGGATGTAAGTCAGCTTCTAACTAATGGATATTAATAGAAATCTTTCCCTATGGAGGGGTTATTTCTGAACTGCCTACTCTGGGGTTTCTTTCAATTTCCTCTGAAGCATCTGGTACTGGCCACTCTTAGAGACAGCATGCTGGACTAGCTGGAACTGTAGGCAAACTAAATGTACACATAGACTGGTATGTCTACTAATGACGTCTATCTGGGCATTCAGCTGCTTTTAGCAATGTTGGGTTGGGGGTTTTTTAAACACGGTTTCTGTTTACCTGTATGTTACACATTTAGGAACCACAAATATTTCTATATCCTTATTTATATTAGTCTAATATAAAATTTATTTTTACAGACTAGGAAGACTTCTAAGTACACTATGTGCATACAGTTCTCTCTCTCTTTCTATATATATATATATTTGTAAAGGAAGGAAACAGCACAATATTTTTGAAGACATTCTGGATACAATGGGATCTGAATCAGTCACAATCAAGATAATCAAATATGAACATGTAATTAGTTACTGGTAACTGAACTATACAATACACATTCAGTACTATACAACATTCCAGATTCCATCATCTCCATATGGCATGAGAATTTGCTGTTATCTCTGGCCAAGATGTAATCATGTGTACATACACACCCACAAGCATCTCATAATATCTAATTTTCCTGAAGTATTAAAAGAAACCCCTCATAAATTAGTTTTATCTGTTTACAATATTTTTTTTGTCAGCATAACTGTGCAAATGATAGATTTTGGGGGTCAAACAAATGTTTTGTTCTACCCAAAACAAAACATTTCATTTTGATTTTGAATTAAAAAAAAAAAATTGAAGGAAATTTCAAAACAAGTAGTCAGTCTGAATAAAGAAATCTAAATGTTTTGTTTTGCAAATGGCAAAATGAAACATTTTGACTTTTTTGGCGTTTGTTTGGTTTTAGACATGAACAATTCACCAAAACTAACATAAATTCGCAAAATGTTTCAGTGTTGTGTAACCTTCATTTTTCACAGAAAATAGTTTAGACTTAAAATTTCACCCATTTACTCATGAGATGTACAAATTCTAGTTTTTAAGCCTTATAGGGGGCATTTTTCTGTAAACAGAAAGGAGACCGGATTTTCAAATACAAAAATGCTGAAAAGTTAAATCAGGTTTCTCTTTTTTAAAAGTAGTTCAGAGTTCAGCAAGTTCAACATACTGCTATTATATCTGTAACATAATGTTCTAAAAAGAAATATGATTTTGCTTAATTATACAGGTGTTAAAAAGACCTACGAAATATATTACACAAGCAAACAATTTTGTCAATATGTAGACCTAGGATCAGGCTACCATAAATATTGCTACGTTCAATGTCTTATTCCAGGCTTGTGCGGGAGAACAAACAGACTGCAATGAGATACTTATATCAAGACAGAGCTGCACATTTACCAAAGACTGAGAAGTAATGTTGCCACACCAATCAGCGTAAATGTCATATAAGCAGCCATTCCTGTACATCCTGCTCCAGTTGTGTCTAAAGTGCTGCCACCGTCTGTTTGATGGATTTGCTTTACGTCACTGAGGTTTGTCTTGCCTGGCATCCCTGCTGAGACAAATAAGAAAATACAGGATGATGCACGCTTTCTCACTACTGGCAACATGATACAGCTAGAACAAATTTAAATATACAGAGCACACAGACTGTCACAGTTTGGTTTCTAATTCTTTATGTTACTGCCAAATTCAGAACTCTTCGTAATTGCATCTAGAAACACCTGCCACTCTATATGGCAGTTTATCCTTGGAGGTAATTCACAGCCCTAGCACTACTGGACAGAGCAGTTATTGTAGAATTGTACCTAAGCAAATATTCACAGACTGAAGTGAATAGTTTGTGAGTCCCAGGAGTACCCAGAAGTCAACTACTCATATCTTAAATTTGAAAGAAGATGGAGATAATTTTATTAGAACTTTCAGGTGTGTGAATCCAGAATTTAGATGAAAAGAAGGTGTAACTGATGGAGGATTTTAGGGCCTCCATTTTGGCATGGAGAAAAATGGACTTCACAACATAAAGTCACATTCTAAGACACACTGTAAACAAGGCAGACCCTTATTCCGCTCCTGGGTGAATGTTTCTGAACTTTAGGAACATATATAAGAAGTTTTTTTCCTCTCTGACAAAATATGAAACAAGGATATTACAGTCATCCATTACACCTCCAGTACCTGTTTCAATAATCATAAGTAGAAGGGTCTGGAGACACATTCAACTATAACAGCATTGTCATTTGCTTTCCATTTTGTGTGCATACTTCTAGACTGTCTTATCCTATATAATAGCTTGTGGTATGCCACTATCAATCAAAATTAACAAGTCTAAATTCAATGTTATCACATGCAACACATATTGACATTGTAATTACACTGAGACTGAAAAAGGCTTCATATAAAGCAAAGTCAATATTTATGTAATTATGTCAATACATATATAATTCAGAAGGTAAGCTCTATTGCACTGGAACAGAGGCATTATAAAGAAGCTTAGCTCTACTGATCTGACATATTGATTCTACAATCTGAGTTCCTGCATTATTATTCATTGTTTAGGACTTCTTTCACCCTTCTGCATCATTAGCGAAGATGAATAAACTCACGATTCCATTACACTTTTAGGGACTATGATGGAGTATGAATATTTTAGTCATGGTTTTATACTTCTTGTTAAGCTAGAATTTAACCAGAAGCTGAAGCAGCTCTCTGCTACTTCCTTATTTTTCAGGCTAACTACTTTTTATTTTAGTGCTAAAAGTACTCCTTTTCTCCTACATGTAGCTTGAAAAGTGCCCTTTGTGAACTTACTGTACATACTAAAATCTCTTTCCTGTAGCTTTGAAAAAATGTGTTAAAGGAAGAGTAGATGAAAGCCAATCATGTTGTCTGTCAAACCTACTAGAATTTGTTTGTCTTCTTTGCTGTTGCACTCAGACAGGAGAATGGACTGCTATTTTGTGTGGATTTATCGATCTATTGTGATTGCCTGGAATTTGTGAAAATTAGATCCATGAGTACAATGCAAGTGGGAAAACAAGGAAAGACAGTAACAATAGGGAGCAGGGGGTGAGGGGAAGTAAGTCCTCCTGATCATGCTCACTGTGTAGTCTCCCTGGGAAAAGATCAATACCTCAGTATTTCACTGAATCAGGGTTTAATGGATCACCAAACAGGGTGGATCAAGGCATTTTTCCTCAGGGGTGTGGGAGATGGAAGCAGAAAGCAGATAGTCTGGGTCACTTGTCCAGCTCTTCAGTGAAGATTTCCTTCATTTGAAAGCTTCGCTTCCACAGACTGTGCTACTTCATAGTGAATTCATTGGGTTAAATTTGGCTTTCAGCTACACCTGTGCAACTCCATTAAATTCAACAAGGTTGCATGGCTATAACAGAGATAAATTTGGCCCAGTGGATTTATAAGAGAGTCTACAGCAGGGGTGTCAAATTTCCAGCCTCTAAGACAAATCCAGCCCACGTGATGCATTTTTCTAGCCCACGTGACATATTTATATTGTGCACAATCTCAGTTTAACACTAAGGTAACAATATAGCACTGTCAGGGGACAAGTGCACCCCCATTCTCCCTTTAGGTGCTGGGAAATGGTGTTATAGCCCTATGGCTAAGTCCACTTGACCACCATTAGCCTCTGGGTGGTATAGCCTAGTGACCAGAGTTAATCAGGCTGCCCTGTCTCACAGGGATGTGCGGCCTAATAGCTAGAGTCAATCAGGCTGCCCTCTCTGATGGCCTTGGCCTGATGGCCAAGTCAATTGGGAGGCCCTCTGTCGCAGGGCCATGTGGCCTGATGGCCAGAGACAATATAGCTGCCTCTTCTCACAAGGCAGTGTAGCCTAATTCCTCCTCTACAACCAGTCTCCCATTACAAGCCACATGCATCTGCTCAGAATTGGAATACCACCAAATCCTCTTTTGCATCTCTCTTGGTTAGCTATTGAACATCCTCACTGTTTGCCCTCACCTTTCTTTCAATGAATCTGTGCACCAGTTCTCGATTCACTACAAAAGGGCGAGCTCTTGTTTTTGTATTAATCAGGATAAGTTGTTTAGTTTCTTAACCACTTGGAAGGTCCCCTTCAAAAAGGAATAAGTTTGGGATTTGTTCCAGGCTGCTTTTCTCCTTCCTGGATGGGCATATAATTTTCCTTTTTCTGGTATTTTGTGCTTGGCATGCTCACTTCTGGCTCATTTGTTCCTCCACCTTCTGGAATGCTGTCCTCAGGTCCCTGATATAGGACTCAGTCACATTACCTACCTGTATAGGTGCAGAGGATCTTGGCAGTTATTGCCGCCTGCAGATCAAGTCACAGAGAAGCGTGGTTTTGTGGAGTCCAAAAAAAGTCTCATAAGGAGAGTAATGGCTAGATGAGTACTGACTGGTGTTATATACAATGGTGACAACAGGTGACGTTGAATTCCAGTCTTGCTGGTCTTCACTGACTGAGACTCTAAGCATAAAACCAAGTGAAGTTTACTCTTTCTACTTCCTTATTACTTGGCAAGTGGGCAACACTGGACCTCGCCTTGGTTATCCGGAGTTGTTGGCAAACCTTGTGTCACAACAATGATTCAAATTCCTTCACCTGATCACTGCAAATGCAGTCTCATGGGCCAAACTGCAACACTACATGTTTTGTCAATGCATCTCTAACTGTCTCAGTCCTTTTCTCCTTCAGTAGTTGTGATACCACATACTTTGAAAAGATGTCATGTGCTACCAGCAAATACTGATTTCCAGCTGGTGTTTCAGGTAGAGGGTGTTTCAAGTCAATCTTTATGAACTCCTAGAGCTTAGTAGGTTGGAGCATTTCCTTGAAAAGGAGTTCTACCTCTTCTTGACAGCACTTGCCTTTCTTGACAGGTAAGACAGGAAAGTTCCCAGTCCTTAACATTAGCAGCCAAGCCCAACCAAAAAAATCTGTCTGATACCAGCTCAGTGTCTTTTCATAAGCCAGGCAGCCTGATGCTTTGTTAGCATGAAGACACTCCAGTTCTTTGTAAGCTTGCTGGCAAGATAATCCTGTTACCATAATACTTCAGCAACTTGGTAGCTGGATCAATGGATAATCATTCCTGAACTGAGTTGAACCTCCACAGACTAGGTTTCCTTTAGTAGATCTGTTGGTGCACCGAACAGAACTCAGGGTCCTTAGATTGTTCTTGATAGATGTCCTCACAAGACCTGGCTGAGTTTATTCTCACTGCCCTCACTACTGCTGAGAGCAACTGCACCCACATTTTGCTTTCCAGGTATACGGTGAACTGTGAATGTATATTCAGACAGTTTGTGAATCCATCTCCACCAGCATCCTCTGGGTTGTGCTTTGTAAGGAGCCACTGCAGGGCATTGTGGAGTGTTTACACTGAATTCTGTACCTAGTAAGTAGAGACAATAGGCCGTGAGAGCCTCTACAATAGCCAGACTCTCCAGTTCTGTAGCTGAATACTTGGCTTCCCTCTCATTTAAGTTGCGATCCCCAAAAGTCACCACTCTGTGCCTATCAAGCTCAATTTGTTTAAATGCAAATCTGACAGCAACCTTTGATGCATCACAGGTTGCCATGAATGGACAAGACTGATCTGTGAATTTAAGCACAGAATGGTTTAGAAGTCCTTCCTTCAGTGACTCAAACACTTTTTGGTGTTCATCCATCCAGACAATCTTGCTCTTCGTTAATTTGTATAATAGCACTGCCTGCTCTGCAATTTTTTTTTTTTTTTTTTTTACAAATCTCCTGTAGAATCCACAGAGCCCCATAAACCACTGTACCTCTTCCAGGTTTGTGGAAACCTTCCAGTCTTTTATAATGTTCAATTTCTAGGGTTAGGGTTCCAACTCATCTTTATTAACTATATGTCCTGAGGAAGGTGATGAGACTCCTTGCAAACTAACATTTGTTTCCTGAAACTTTAAACCCTGACTCCTTAAAAAGCTTTAGAATACTTCATACTCCTACCAGATGTCCCTCACATGTTTTATGGAAACAAATGAAGTCATCTAAATATGTGAGCATGTCTTCGGTTCTCAAAACTTGGATTAGGCCATTTACTACCCTCTGAAACATGCTTGGTGCAGCCATGAGTCTGAAAGGCATTGTGTGGAATTGAAACAGTCCACAGGGTGTCACAAAGGAAGTTTTGTTCTCAATCCTCAGGTGCCACTTTAATTAGATAGTATCCAAATACCAAAACAAAATTACTAAAATATTCTGCTCCTGACATTTTATCCAATGTGGGGAAGTAGGTACCTATTGTGAATTGCCTGTGAATTAAGACTTCTATAGTCAATGCATATTCTCCAGTCTCCATTAGTTTTTTTTACAACTACAATTGGGGATGCCTATGGTGAAATACATTGTTCAAGCAGGCCATACTCCTGAATGTGATTTTAGCTTCTCTTTCACTGTAACCTTATACAGAAGGGGAATATGACATGGGACGTACCCCACAGAAATACTCCCTTGCTTAAATACCATCCGATGTTGCAACCAATCACACATCCCAAGTTCTTCATTATTCCAAGAGAACACA